GACAATGAGAGCTGGGGAATCCACCCTCGTCTTTTTGCAAAACATTATTTTCCTAATGTCAAAGATGACATTACTAACGAGGAAGCAGTTTGAAATGCTCAAATATCATGGGTGGTACAGCAAGAGAGAAAAAAAAACTGCCCCGTAGCTTTTCTAGAGCATGTTCGAATTTCGTAATGTGCATGTGAAGTATCGTGGTGGCAGAAGGGGCAATGGCGGTAAGACCACGTCGGTAGGTCGGTTCATTCGTTGGAAGTCTTTGTGGTGAGATCAAACACTCTGACTCGAACATAGGCGGCCTCGGAAAGCCAGCTTATAGAGGGTTGGCCAAAAAATAGAGACACTTCACTTCACACCTCGCACACCATCAATCACACACTGCTAACCGACTGCCCTCAACTTAATTTTGAAGAGCACATCACGTCCTACCAACTAACGTTATGATAGCTTTCTGCACCAAGGACATCACAAGAATTTGATATGGGAAGCTTGTGCTAGGTTTGAGCTCAAGTGGTCCCTGACAAATCATAGGACGTTAGTCGGAAGGGGTCCTGTATATCCAGAGCCGCTACCATGAGGAAGCAATCTGTCAGTGAACCAATCAATGGATTTTTCGTAACAGCTTCAGGTTGGAACGATTACGGTAGGCCTTCTTGAGCTCAACTGTGATGGAGATGACGTCGTATTTTGAAGACGGTGAAGGCAGCGAAGGAAGGCCTGCTTCTACTTTTGGGAGAACATCTAATGGTAAGGAACATTTTGCCATGAAACCTTCATTAACAGCGGCACCCTTTGCGACTAGAAGTTTGCTTACATGAGCAATGGGCAAAGTGTCTCTTTTTTGTTGGCTATCCCTGTATTATAGTACGCTTAAAAACATGAAGTGACGCTGAACTGCAGAGTAGCCGCCGAGAAGACCAATCAGCCTCGAGTATTTGCTCTTTTTCATTACACTTATACTTAGAGCACGAGCATGAATCAAAAGAAGAGAATTCCCAGAGCAATCAAACAAACAAAGCTATTCAGAATGACAACGAAAACTTTGATCTTATAAAGACGAGATCTTGTAAACAGTTGATATGAAGAAAGATAAAAAATACTCACTTATTAGTGGCAGCTCGAACAGCGGAAGAGAAACGTTCCAAAGACACTTTTACCAAGGAGTTTACAACTAGAGATCGAAAATCTAGACCCATGCGACCTAGAGATGCTGCTAACGACATGAGTTTTGACCATACTGTGCACATATCAACGCCACTTCTGGAAAATGAGGCTTTCGACATAAGCTGATAGAATGAATTAATCAAAACAATAAAGAAAGGAAACCCACTTCATATCAGTTCTACAAATCAGGTCCAACAATCTAGTGATATTACGTGCCGTCCAATGACCAAGCACTGACGATGGCGCGCTCGAAGGCCATGTTTCCCAACGGGGATCCAGAGACAACTGAATACTATTCGCTCACAGAAGAAAAAACCTTCCCAATTACCTACTTATACCCGAATCTACAGAGTGTCTCAAAGATTACTACAGCGTACGGCCAATAACGATGCATGGTCAGAACCTCGTTGTTACCCCGTTCCCTGATTTTTAGGAAAAAAATCCTTCACCAAAAATTGTAGGAAGAAGCATAAAGGAAGAACAAAAACAACTCACGTCCTTTCGTGCTGTTTCGCTCTCAGGAAAAACTGCCAAGTATAGAACAAGTGTGTCATACATGCAGTCCCGGTATATCTCAATGGCCCGAATGGCGAATTCAAATTCAGGATGATTCTGCAGAGAAATTTGCCATAATTCAAGATGAGTAAATGCACTTGATTTTTCAAAGAATGACATGCAATGTCGATGCCTACAGAACACTTCAGAGAATTTGAATGAGACGTACGCATACAGGCTTTCCACTTATTTTTCAGCGCGCAACCATGCACCCAGAGTGAGTGCATTCTACTATGTTTCTAGATAAAACCAACCGTGATATCCAGAATCTGCCTATCTAAGTACATATCCCTGTGTTGTAAAATGCAGGCACGTAGTTGAGTAGGTGTGAGATATGGCATTTTTCCGCACATTATTCACAACCTGAATCAATAAGTAGTCAAATAAACGAGTACAATAAAGGTGTCATCGACCGCTTCAATCTACATTCCAAGGAAATCATCCTTAGAACTATAGATTATCATACCTGAATAGAAGAAGCTAAATCAAGAGGGCCCGAAAACTTATTAAACAACTCTTCGAGAAGAAACGATCGTGCTTCAACAAGTTTATCAGCAATACCCTGGAACAGAAGTTAAAGAATGGACGAAAAGTTGTTGCACAAATACTTTTTTTTTTAAATTGTTTTTGCTGCTAAGATACCTTAATCAAGGGATTTTCTAATAATGGAATGTTGTTGAAGCATCATTCCATAATTTGTTAGCGAATATGCAGCCTCGTAATATCCTGCACGGATACAAACATCCATTCTCTATAAAAGATCACAGTTCGGGATAAATGAGGTCAAATTTTGAAATTCTAGAAGTAAAATCAAGGAGATTGTGGGAATAATCAAAGCAAAGGTGTTCTCAACGGGTTTGGTTTGTAAGCAAAAAGTCATATTCTGGTCACATAAATTATAATATTATTCGTGAAAACGAAATATACTTATTAGAAGTTTAGGCCCTGTTCAGAGATGTCCGCCGGCGCGAAAAAACGCACAGGCGAAAATCTCCGCCAAGATTTAGATACGCATCGACTGAGAAATTGTGAAACGCGTAAGCGAAACGTCCGGAGCAGGCGAATTTCAGTCAAGAGTTTGATATGTATCGACTGTGAGAAACGCACAGGCGGAAAATCGCGTGAGCGAAGCGTTCGTAAGTCGATGCGTATGATACTCATTTTCGTCGATCCTCCCACTTCACGATTCGCCTGTGCGTCTTCGTTCAGTCGATACATATTTCACATTGTTTCGCCTATGCGTTTTTTCGCGCAAGCGGACATCTCTGAACAGGGCCTTACAGGTATCTTTCTGAAAGCCCCATAATTACAATAACACAGCTTTATACGATCGATGCATTCCTCTTCACGGTTCCACCGACATGTTTACCGAATACTTGGAAGTTTCATAGGAGCAATGGACATATCGAAATTTGTAAGTATGGTCCTTTGGATAGGATAGGTTCAAAGCTTATTATTATTAGATGTATGGAAAGGTTGGAAGCTGAGCTACTAGATTTATACGACGCCATTCATTTCGCACATCTCCAATCTGACAAGGCTAAGTAGGTACCCGGAAACTTACTACCAACCGCTGTACCAAGATGATATTCGAATTTTTGTAAACTCACAGAGGGCAACGAAAGCAGCTCCCACACGAGATTCTCTTTCTGGCAGGCTGACTGCACTATATCCAATTCATTCGACACGTCTTTTGTACGAGCATGGAATGCTCGTAACTCCGATGCGAGTTCTGGGACTTGTGCTGACACCACCCGTAGCTTATCCTTCATTTCCGTAAACTGAAATACCAGTAATCTTCGAGTGAATGCTCAAATAGGTGCAACCATTTCAGCCAAATCTATGGCAATTGAAAAAGTGAAAGAATCCGATGAAGGAAAGCGGCGCCCCCAATCTCAAAAAGTGCTAAATCCAGAAATTTTTGACACGTACGTTTTCGAACAATGTCTCTAAATTTCAATATACTCATGCTTATTCGAATATTGAAGGCTCGATGAAAGCAGAAGACGCCGAAATTTTCCTTAAGAGGGAAGCATTTTTGCAGCAAACTAGAAAATTTTTGATTCCTTTCAAAAAATACTTCTAAGGCCTAGCATTCCCGTACACGCATTTATACCAGGCATAAGAGCTCAGGACAGTACAACATTAAAGTATACTAAAGCTAGTGAGAAAGTTTGTTTTAATATACTGATTGCAATGGAAACCCAGCACAGGGCTGTTTCGACTTCACGATGAAAGTATTAGGTTGGCAAGAAAGTCCTGCGACACTTTTTCAATTTTTTGATTTAATTCTATCTTTTTTGTTTACAACTCCTGACCGGTCATATATCTATCATGAGTGTCCACCACTTGTCTTCAACGCTCAGAAAATTTCCTGATGCTCCTTTTCCAAAACCCAGCGGAGTGCGGGTCAAGAAAGGAGGCGACCTCACTTCCGAGTTGGAGTTGATCGTCTAATTATTTCGTCATCAAGATGATGATTTAAGGTCCAGGATAGGTGGCACTCATTTACAGCTCGACCAGGGGATTACGCTAAGAGAGGTAAGAAATCTTGCCGCAACTCCAGAATTTCTTACCGGGCTCATTTCGGATCATGGTGATTCGCAATGTCATGAAAGAAATGAATATTGTCGCGGTACGAGGGCTCTTGACGAGCTGCCTCGGCCAGCTTCTGGTATTCCACAGCCTAGGCCTCTACCTACACAATGGTGCCCATACATTATACGAAGGATATGTATTAGGTTGTCTCATAAATAGTGTCGCTTTTTTTTTCAAAAAAAATTTTCATCTAAATCCTCCATGCTTTTACATCGAGTCATATACCATTCGAAAGAGAATTGTCTGCTCTACAAGATATCGTGTTCTTCTTCCATCTATGTTCCATGGTTTTCAAATTTTAGGCCTGCGAAATGGGAGGTCCCGCCGACAAAAATTGACCAAACCGACAACTAGCTCTAACTTTATTTTCCCTGCGGAGAAATCAATCAATGATGTACCCTCTACTTACTCATGACCTCTTCTGAACATTCCACCCTTAGGTTGCCGAAAAAGGTTTGCCCTGTTTCTTTTCGAATTGGCCGACCGATAAGCCATGGCAATTTTCAAATTGAAATTCTTCCTCTGAAACGCTATTGTTTTATATCAACTGGTGTTATCTTTTGTGAGCACTTCTTCTGCTCTATTCGCTCATTTGTTTTGTTTTATGTTTGTTGGGAATTAGTTCGAATTTTAGGTGTTTAGGATAAGGTGCTTTATCCACGAAAGTGACCGCATTTCTTTGAAAAAAATTATCCCTGAGAAGATGAGAAAATCAACCAGGCGTACATTCCTAACTTAGTCATGACTTGTTCTTTAAATTCTACTAGTTTTTCAATGTCTCGGCTATAAAAAAATTTCGACCTAGATCTCAGGTAATGGTGCTCGACCGTCGAGTTCTGGTTGAAAAACCAGGTCTGGAAATGGAACGACGCGACTTGTTGGGAAACCTAATAGTGTAATGTTTAGAAGAGGTCATGATAAGTAGAGGGTACATCATTGATTGATTTCTCCCAAGGGAAGATAAAGTTAGAGATAGTTGTCGGTTTGGTCAATTTTTGTCGGCTGGACCTCCCATTTCGCAGGCCTAAAATTTGAAAACCTGGAACAGAGTGGAAGAGGAACATAGCATCTTGTAGAGCAGACAATTCTCTTTCGAATGGTATATGATCGATGTAAAAGCATGGGGATTTAGATGAAAATTTTTTGGTTGAAAAAAAGCGACACTACTTATGAGACAACCTAATAGTAGGAGCTTCGTAAGAGCCCTACCTGTAATGGAGTGTAGGGACGCTGCTGGCTTCTTATAAAAATATCAAAAGATCGGAAGCGCTGGTAAAGGTGAAACACGCTGTAGCGGTGAACGACATGCCTATTGAAGCTATTGCAGATAGTGTTGGTCGTTGACACGAATCCATAGTTATGGAGACATTTGTACTAGACAGTGACTCGGAGTATGGATTTACTAGTGGTCGAGGTTTTTTGAATTTTCTTGGATAACTACTGACTGCAGCACTTATATCCACCTCGTGGATTGAAGCCTCGAGAATGCTCTACCATTTGTTAGTCATAAATGTTACCTATGAATTTTTCAGAAAAAAAGAAAATTTTAGAAAGAGTGTTGCAGAACTTTCTTTCCAACCTAATAAATAATATTTCCAAGACACTACTTTAACAACACTCACTATTTCTGTACAGTGCTGTGTC